TTCGAAAAGTTCATGGTGGCATCAAAAGCAGTACTGGCCACCGCGAAGTGCGCACTGCAACGCCGAGTAGCCTGGACAAGCACACGATAACGAAGAACTCCCCGTCTTCCTGTCGTAAAAGGATGCCATCTTGGGAAGCGAGGACAACGAAGTTGAGCCGGACAGTGTCCACGAAGAGAGAGACGACCAACCACTGAGCAACCAACAAAAACCAGCCACATGTGCCGTGTGGGCCGACCAGCCGTCCCCATGGGCCATGCCCCAGATGGAACTGAAACAGAAAGGGCAGCAATGGGACCTCCAGTAAGCTGCAGGTTGCAGGCCTTCTCCCGACAAATGTTGACCCTGATATAGCACAGCAAGATGGGATGCAAGTCATCCCAAAAGGCAAGAAGATCCACGTAGCAAGAACCGAAAACCGCCATGCTGAATGACCACATGTCCTCTCCCTCTGTGCTTCAACCACGAAAGCCTTAGTGCCACCGCAGCTCGTCAAGCAAATGACCTGCGTCGACAATAAACGGTGCAAGATGCCCATGGCGAAAGAAACTAGAAGGAAACCTACCACCCGAGCGATCTGCCTGCTCCGCCACACCACTGGAAGGAGCTCGGGCCACCGTGGCTACGCCCTAAACCCTAAAGACTAAACCCGACACCCTAAAAAAATACTCCAAGCCCTAAAAACCCTAAACCCTAAGCCCGAAAGTCTAAACCCTAAAGCCTAAGCCCTAAGCAGTAAACCCTATAAGCACTGAACCTTAGACCCTACACCCTGAAAATCCTAGACCCTGCAAAAAGAGCAGCCTTCATTCTAAAGCCTAAACCCTCACAAAAACCTTGAACCTAAAAAGCCCTTAACCCTAAAAACCGCAAACCCTAAACACCCTAACCCCAAACAATAAATTAAATCCTACACAGCCCTACACCTTGAAGCCTAAACCCTAAGGCCTAAACCTTAATCCCTGGACCCTACCCTAAAAAAATTGGAAATGGGATGAATGAAATAACATTTTCCTCGGGACAAAGCAACGAAACTTGCAAAAGCAAAACTGCCCCGTTCCGGTCTTGCTCACACATTGAGACAGTCGATGCTATCAGCTATCACGAATCGAAAGAGGGAACTGGGGGAACCAAGTGAGCCGCGGTGAGCCGTTGTGCTCAGGTTGTCCAACTGCTGCATTTCGAGGCGCCAAGAATGGTGGTGCTAGCGCGGCTGGACGCGGTGCAGCCGGTGGCGTACGGCAGACGGGCCCCGGGAATGACGCAGCAGCTGCTTGGTGCATTGCAGTTTCTGCACCGCGCAAACGTCGCCCACATGGACGTCAAGGCCTTGCCAGGGCTTAATTTAAAGGGAATCCTAATCATTTGTTGTTATGTTGTTTTGTTGTTATTTTGGCTGCTTTCTGCTCTATGACTCTATGCTTTCTTCGTTCCTAGCAGATAGGGCTTCTGTTGCTTCTGCGGTTGCTTTTTGTTGGTTGTTGTTGGCCAGCCGCTTTTGCTTATTGATTCTTGCTTTTCGCTTTTTCCTCTATCCGCTTATTGAGTTCCAAGCAGCCCCCAATCCTGAAGAGAGCCTAGACTCAAAAGAACCCTATGCGTTATCCTTACCCCAAACCCTAGAGAAAGTGCTGAACCATCATCAAACCTAATTCCGAACCCCAACTCCCAAACAATCACAAACCCCGAAAAGAGTCCTACATCCGAAAAATCTTTCTTTGCCCTAAGCACTGAGAAACCTAAACCCTAAACACAGACGATTAGCCCAAAGCCCTACAAACCCGGAGCTTTGAAGCGAGCCCCAAGCCGTCAAAGCCTTGAGCCTTGAAGAGCGCGGTAAACCTTACCTTCGAAACAACCCAGGCTAGACTCTTTACGAGAGCTGAAGAATTCTATACCCCACTCGATGCCAAACCCTAGAAAAACAAAAACCAACCCAACAGCCTGAAGAGATGTTGAGGGGAATGTGAAACCCTCAAGCGAGACATTGGTTGGAAAACCTTAATTGTTGAAAGGAGATGGGTTTAAAATCCTAGATCCAAAGGGGGGGTGGATTGGTTGGAAAGCCCTCAACCTTGAATTTTTGTCAATCGCCCGATGCAAATATAAACCAGATCCTGATGAATTCGTGATGATGCACTTACTTATATATGTACATGTTCTGTCTCGCGCATCAATTGCTGTCAAGATCCATCAACATCCTTCAAGATTTTTCATTCGGATTTTTGGACTTGAGGAAGCACGCGGTCGACGTCCCTAGAAAGTGTCACTATCGAAGTAGTGGCCGGGTCGGAGCTTCAGAGATAGCCAGGCCACATTGCGCAATATATTGTTTTCTCCCAGAAGCCGCAGCCAGGCAGACAATTTGATGATGTCCGAGGGCAGCGAAATGGCCACCAAACCTCATGTCTATCTTTGCGACTTTGGCTTGGCGTGTGCTGCGGATGAACCATGCCTGCAGCAGCAGGGCACGTTGCAGGAGCCTCATTTTTCTTGCACAGAAGCAGTCCTGCCAACGCATGCCTTGTCACAAAATCTGTGAGGCGCTATTGCGCTCCCGAGACTTTTTCTCCGCCTTACAACGGTACAAGCGCGGATGACTGGGCCGCGGGAGTGGTGGCTTGGGAGCTTTGGCAATGCCATAAATAAGGAGCTAGAAAATGCCGCAGCATCAGCAAGGGCAACTGATGTGTCGCAAGCTGTTGATGCCGCCAGTGTGCTGAGGAGCTCCTCTGCGGTTCCTTTCCGTTTAGATGTCGGCACGGGCGAGGTTTGTCGATGAAACAGTGTGCGGCTTAGTGAAATTTCCAAAGTAGGTGTTTATATGTGACAACGGATCAGACGCAATTTCCCAAATGCCGTGACAGGCTCATCGCTAACATCAAGGCCGGCATGCCCGAGGATCGGTCCGATTTGGATACCCTTCCAGGCCGGCTTTTTCTCTGGCGGATGGCGCTCACGCCATCAGGGCCATTTGATTTTGAAGTTTTTGAGGTTGGCAGATGCATGACGTCATTGCACAGCTGCTTGCTTTGCACTTCAATGATGGGAGCGTGTGGGATTTCAGCTGGGTGGGTTGGATACATGCTCACGTGCCTGAGTGCAAACACGGAAGTGGCTCAGGCTGCTGGAGCCAGACCCACGCCTGCGCATCAGTGCGGGCCTAGCACGGGCGCAGCTGGACCGGCCTTCTCCTCCGCAGCGTGAGCGCAAGCGCCGTAGGTTCGACTGCTAAACCCAGCTCGCATTGCCAATGGGGCATGTGCAGATTTCTTTGACGTTCAATCGTTGAACCGTGGCCGGGCCATGCTTAGGTGTTTATGGGTTGAGAATTCGGAACATAAGTAAGCTGCACCGTTCATTTAAGAGTTACCTTTAACCCTTTCAGGCCGCCGTCCTACCTTTTGAACTCACGGGACAGGCGACAGGACAGCAGCCATTCGGCACCTAGCAACGTGCCGGCCGGGCCACGCACTCAGAAGCTGTAGCCGCAAAAAGGCGGTGTGATTCTGATTGAAATTGTTGTTGATTACCTCGTGAGTGCTTTGTGCTCCCCTCAACTCCTCAACTTCGCTCCTGCCGGCACCCCAACCCTGGCTTGCTACTGGAATGCGCCCAATTTCAAACGGGGCAGCGTTGTTTTCCTGTCGAAGCCTGAAAAACTGGCAATACTGTCCCGTTCAGTCCGCATCAGGAATTGTTGCACAATGTACTCCAGCCTTGCTCCAATCATCAAGGCCCGTATATCAGGTTGTTTGATAGTGGCCAGATAGTGGCCAGGCAGTTTCTGGATCAGGGTCCCCATTCCACTCAGCATCATCGGCATGTCCCAACGCCATCGGCAGTCGCGATGATCATCTTGAGCGGCACTAATCTCAATACAACAGAGAAGTGCTAAACTGGAGGTGCTGGCTCAAGGCTGGGAAGATTGCTACTATTTGCTTCAGAACCCCCAAAACATAAAAATGATATAATCCCTATATTACCCCCATAAGGAATACATCTTTTATTTTTTGGGGGGTTCTTAAGCAAATAGTAGATTGTAGTAGCGCACCAGCTGCTGGTCAGACGGTGAGACGCGCCTCATCCGGTCCTCCTTCGCACGCTGAGTTCCAACCCATCGGAAAGTGAGCAGGGAGCCGTTGCATTTACGAGTAATCGTCCCGCAGCTTTTATTCTCAACAACCGTCCGAGTCTTGAGGTCGCCGGAATCAACATAATGCGCTTAGCCAAATCACACGACTTGAAGCCGTTAATGGCAGCCATACTTGAAGGATCATGGGGGTTACTATGTAGATAGTGGACTTATACAAGTTAGTGCCAAACTTAGAGCGGTTAGCCAAGTCCAATTAATGGACTTAGTAAGTGAGAGATAAGGGACTTAGGTAAGTCCAGATGGAGCAGTTAGGTAAGCTGACTAAGTGAGTTAGCCCAGTTAAGACGATGAATACAGCAATGGTATTTTGTATCTATTATATACATACATATACACACATATACCGAAGAAGCTCACCGTGAAAGCATCGCACAGCATGCAATTGAGGCCCTCGGGCTAAAGCAAAGATGCACCAGCAGCAGCACATGAAAAGATTGAAAGCTAAAAACCTGCATCAACACCGAAACCCGACACCAGCCTCAAGCTGAAAACTTTCTTGAAAATCTAAAGCCGAGACCATCTTACAACACATCACCGGCTCCATCATATTATGCGGGGAAGCCCTTCGAAGTTGCCCATGTTCGCAAAGCATTACATAAACATCGAAATCAAGCTACATACCAGTTATGAATATAGACACCGAAACCGACATCATATGAGCATAAACACAAGTAAACGTAAGCCAATATCAGCCCCCCCAAACCCTGCATTCCCAAGCATCTGGTGGTTGCCGACGTCAACAGCACCTGCGAGGGAGGGCTTTATGTGAACACAAACATGAAGCACAGCACGAGTTCGAATACAGGGCCGTGGGCTCGCATGCAGGATCATGCACTTTTGCAGCTCACTCCAACAACACGATGGCATCGTCGCCCTTGCGAGACCAGATGCAAGCCGAAAGAATGCATGCCGTGTTGATGAAGAAACTTTCGTGCTTCACACGGTACATGTGATCGGCCACATGGCTCCATGGACTCATGCATGTGAGAGGCAGGCCGTCAACCTCAACATGAAAGTGAATCATGCCGACAACGTGTTCCTGTGCATGCTTGGCTCTGACGACATCTCCATGGGAGCACCGGAATCCTCCGCCATGCAATGCTGCCTGTGCTTGAAACACACCGTCGGAGTTGCCGAACACATCCCGGATCAGGCTGGCCATTGCCTTTGTGCACCGTCTCTTGCCGATGAGTCGCACATCCCCTTGAGGGAGTTCGTCCTGCGTCGCAAGGAACTGAGCTGCAAGGGTCTCGCGAAGGACGGTAGCTTCGTATGATCTGGATGTGTCCTTCATGTTGTTTGCGAACCTCTTGACCAGCTTGTGTTTCCTTTCGTGCACGAAGCACGAGAGCAGCCTCCCGTGCCGAGCTAAGAATTCGGGTAGGTGCATGGTCATGTGGTTCTTCGGAACCCAGTACTCTGCCCCGTAGTTAGCGAGGTAGAGTTCGCAATGCTCCTTAATGGCACCCCTGAGGGCAGCAGGGTCCAAGCCACCCTGAGTGGCTTTCCTGAGCATGCGAAGGATTTTGCACAAGGTGAAGAATCCGTGACAGCAACTCTTCAGGGAGTCGTCAGCATCCCTCCAGACGAAGAGGATAAGGAACAACTGCAGGACCGGCAGGAAATTAAGGAGCTCGGAGGCTTCTGCTTTCACCGGGGCAGTCTTGTCCTCTCACTTTTTGGCGAGAACTGACTTGGCATCCGCACCAGCGAATTGCGCCGGACAATGGAAGGATTGCACGAAGTCGTGTATCTGTTGCTCGGGAAAGCCACTGTCTCGGAGGCGGCCTAGCAACACCCCAACCTCGTTACCGGCCACACCGTGGACCAAGTAAATGTGGAACCAATCGAACATGATCATCTCCGGAATGTTGTGTCCTACATTCGACATCAAGAGGCCTCCCGGCATGTAGTTGTAGCCCAAAGCTTTTTCCATTGTTTGGAAGTCCTTCTGGGAAACCGTGCCATGTTGGGAAGAGAGGTACCTCATGATTTCACCGACCGACCGGTTCGTGTGCAAGCGAAACTTCGTGAAGTCAGTGCATGTCGACGAGAGAACATCGCCATGGTCCTGTAGCCCGCTTCGGTGGGCAACGACATTCGCACATCTCATACAAAACACTGTGCCCGAGGCACCTTTGCTTTCAGCTGTTTGTTTCAGGGCTGCCTCGTCCGCTATAAGAACAGAGAGGTCGGCAAAGACGGGAAATGCTGTGGTGGATGTCTGCAGCACCACACCATGCCTCATGTCATGATCCATGAACATGTGCTGGATGGCATGTTTCCAAAGCACAGTGAGGCCGCCGATCCGATTGCAAAGAGTGCTTCTCAGTATACACAAAGGGAACCAAAGCCACTCCGAGGCCAGATCTTGCCCGTGCTGGACGATGGACCAGTAGATGACTTGTAGTTTCCTGGCATTCAGCGCTTTTAGCTGATTGCCGGGACTAACTTCGTCAGCATATATAGCGATGCCCAGCTTGTCTCCAGGGCTGGACTGGCCACACTTTTTGAGCAGTCCATGGTAATGCTCGTTGGCGATGCAGTGCTGCAGCAGCACAACAGGTGGCACGAAGGGAACCCTAACAAATTTCGTGTCATCGCTCTCATGTGGGATGTCCATGTTAATGATCATCTGCCCAAAGGCATTCTCCCACGACTTCTCTTCACCATCCCTCGCTCGCTTAATCGAGGCTCGCGAGGTGGTAGCAAAATCGTCGGCGAGGAAACCGGTCTTCTTCAAATCGCTGAGCACGGATTCCAGACCTCGTTGTGATACAAACACCTTCCTCCCCAGGCTTGCCAAAGGTTTGGAGCTGGAGCTGGATGTCATGATGCAAAGCTGTGCAGGAATTGGTCCTGGCCACGAGCCAAGGGCCCTGCAGCACGGACTCTTTTAGTGTAGCTTTGTTGGCGATTTTCCATGCATGGATGAACTGTCACACACATGTAAAGTTTGCAGCACAATACTCCGAATATATTATATGATCGAACCCCAGGAACCTTCAGCTTTAAAACACCAACAGACTATACAATACATTTCCTATATGTATACATTATATGATATACAGACCCACTATATGTATATTTTAATAAATATATACAAATCGGAAACCCCGAACCTGTATAGGCTCTGAGATATACACTAAACCCTTTCACGACGCACATCCTCTATAACAATGCACAGGAGCTCCAGCTTCCATTCCATGTCACATGTCAGGGCACACATGCATCGGCCACATTTTGAGATGCTCTTGCTGCAGCCCGTGTGCAGCCGGACTTCATAATGCATGTGTGAGAGTGCCTGAGACACGATGTGAAACAGGAGTCTCTACTTCAAAAAGCAACTAGGGCAGCAGCCTCGCTTCCATCGGCACTTTGCACATCCTGATGGCCTCATTCGAACTCGTTCATCCCAATCCGGAACCTTCTTGGCACCCTTGGACTTGGGGGCAGCCTTGGCCTTGGTCTTCGCCTTCGCCTTAGCCTTAACCATCGGCTTCGTCGTCGCCTTGGCTTTAGCTTTCGCCTTGCACATGCCCTTCGCCTTTGCCTTGGCTTTGCTCTTTGGCTTTGCCTTGCCCTTCGCCTCGGCCTTCTCGCTGCCACCCTCCGGATCACCAGCCTTGCCATCCTCGGCTCTCTTCTTGTTCTCCTCTTGACGATTCTTCCAGCTGGAGAGCATGGTGTTCACCTGCTCTTCCGGAGTCATAGGCGGCTGAGCTTGCTCCGGCTCTGCACGTGCTGGACTCGATGCTGCATCGGGTCCATTCGTGAGTGCGAGGGTTTGCTTCGGCGGGTTCGTCTTGGTGTTGTTCATGTTCGAGATGTTCGGCTGGCCGGACATGCCAGCCTGCTGTGCACCTGCGAAGACATTGAACATGTGCTGCATGCTCTGGAACCCTTGCATCATCATATTCGCCATGTTGTTCTGCGAAGGCACCTGAAGGTCTAGAGTAGGAACCTTCTGGTTGTTCTGGCTCTTCAACATCGCAGAAGACTTTCGAACTGGACCGATGGAGCCACCCAGGCCGGCATGTCCGGACGGCCCTTCCTCACCATATGCTCTCGCATACACATCGGAGGGTAGATCTGCCGGTGTCGTGAAGTTGTGCACATGGCTCGTCGACCCACTGGGATTGGACTTGAAGTGCGACTTCAAGGCGGCTTTGATATCCTGAACTGTGTTGTAAAACACTTGAGGGTCCTCGAGTTCCTTGAGGCCAAAGCCGTTCTTGAGCACTCCCACAGCTCGGCCCGAAGTAGGCTCCGTCGGGCAGCTGCAGTTGATGCTGCAAAACATCATGGCCATCCGACTTGCCTTGGCCTTAATGGTGTGGTCTGGGTTCGAGATGAAGGTCACATCCGAGACCCGGAGGAAACTTCCCGGGTCGTCCATGGTCTGCATGGACTTCTTGCTGCCCTGTGATTTGGGTGTGCTGCATGCCACGAAACGATCACCGATCTGCCGCATCAGCTCGTCCTTCTGACTGTCGCTGAAGTTCAAGGACTGCACCGTAGCGAACAGTGTCTGGACTTCTGCTGAATCCGTGAGCCGGAGACCCGAAATCTGCTTCTTGGCAGACTCCATACAGGACTCGATCATCCGGTCTTTCGTTGTCTGGTCTGTCATGGTCTCTGCGAGTGAGGAGATGGTGAGCAGTTGGTCGCCCAAGGCTTTCGAAGTCGCCATGCCGGAAATCTGAGTGTGGAATACCACAAAAGTGTTCGAGCACTCCATGCATGCACGTGCAGCCATGAAGGAGGCAATGCATGATGGATGTATACAATGCCATGCATGCATGCATGTGCTCCCTTTTGAAACACCCATGCAATGCATGTTCCTGCCTGCGAGCTTCTACAGCCCTGCGAGACGAATTGTGAATGTGTGATCTATATACATGCCATGTCATCTGCAGTTTCAAAGAAGCACACATGCGAGCACTCCAGAGTGCCAACCGGCTGGATCAAAACGAATGCCCCCTGTCGGTACATAGTGCCAATTAAAGTATATATATGTGTAGCATGCTACATATACACAAGCACCATGTCAAGGCAGACTGTGGGATCGACCGAACATAGCAACAAAAAGAAAGCTTCAGGCTGCCGAACCTAGCAACACAAAGAAAGCTTCAGATTGCCTGCGACATGCACTCGACCGTCCATATCGACTTCTGCGGTCGCCAGCATTTTCCTTCAAACTCAGACGTGCTCAGCCAAGTCTTTCTGTGAAGACAAAGTCCAGGACAGCTCCAGACGTGTACACTGACTGCATTCCAGGCAAGTACATGTGCACTCACTGGAAAGATCCTGTATATCCCTCCGACCGTAGCATTCGGCAACTTATCCGTTCACACAGCTGCAGTCAAAGTGTAACAGCCAAGGAACTTCGAGAAGGGTGCACTGGGAGCTCGCAGTTTGCAATTGAGGCCATAAGGGGCTCTGTACATAGAAAGAGAGAGAGAGAGAGAGAGAGAGAGAGAGAGAGAGAGAGAGAGAGAGAGAGAGAGAGATATATATATATATATATATATATTTATATAGAATCAACTATATAGTAGCCCCAATAGACCCCTGTGTGACTGTGTTATATATATATATTTATTTATATATATAGAGAGAGAGGTATATACGCACTTCATATATATATATATATACACACATATCGCAAACCACAGACACACACACACATATATATATATATATACATATACATATACACATATCCCTGCGGCAGCTCCCAGTGTCATGGACTTTGCACAGCGAAGCCTGTGTCGGCTCAGATGCAAAAAGGCCCGGCCCGATTTGTGGGCCTCTGCAACCTAACTTTGTGGGCTGTAACTTATACTAGCCCACACACAGTAAACCCCCCAAAACCCTGTGCCGAAAGTGACCTATAATCATGAATATGAAAGTCTACACAGGGCTGCAGGTTTCTGGGTTTGGGTGTAGAATATATAGAGGGTATATGCATGTCTGCATGTACAGAATGCTCCTGATGATTCATGAGGATGATGGCATGCATGACGATGGTCCATGATGGTGTGACACATCCACAACTCTCTGCAGCAACTCACCAAAGCCGTGAAGCCCCGATGTGTATGTATGTATACATACTTATAGAGAAAGAAAAGATGTTTATTTACATGTATTTATAAACCCATATAGGACACATGTATACATGTATATATATATATACGTACATACATGACACATATACATGCAACACTTTACACGTATGTAGACACGTATAGATCCATGCCTGCAGTGCAAGATTTCCTATATATGTCCTATGCGAAACCAGACCCTGCCCTATGCATGAACCTGAGATGCCTCTATAGAATCGCACAAACACCATGATATACCTAATAGCCCATAGAGATCTACACCATATACACACACACACCCGAAGGGATCAGCTGGACTTTTGGTGCCCATCCAACCCGTCGGCCCGGGCCGAATCTGCACGTGCACCGGCCGGCACAGCTGCACTCAGACCCTGCAAGGCCTTGAAACCATTTGCCGGAGAAGCTGGGAACAGGCTTGAAGGTGCCAGGTGCTAAAGGGTCAAGGCAGGACAACCAATTGTATTCTTATTTGTTTTTCTGGTTGTGGGTAGGGCAAGGCTTGTGTACTAGAAAACCACATTTTTATCAATCTATAAGACCGGCTCGAAGCCACGGACCCCAGATTTATAGATCGATAAAAGTTGGTAGGCAAAACCAACCCCAGATTTATAGATCAATAAATCCTGACCCAGTTTTAACTAGAAAGCACAACCATTTTTATCAATCAATAAATCCTGGCTTCCATCCCAGCACAGATTTTTATCAATCGATAAATCTGGGGTTGAACCACTAAACCTAGATTTATCAATCTATAAAAACCTGGTTCCCCGGCTTTCAGGCAGGCTTCGCTCGCGAGGGTCGGAACTACCAGCAAAGTCAACTGGTCGAGGCCGGCTGGCCGAGGCAACGGATGCCATCACCAGGTTTGTGGCTCTTCTGTCGGGGCTTTGAGGCTGTGTGCACAGGGGTTCAAAGAGCCCTTCGGACTGCATCCGCTGCCCATGCCCAGCCAACCCAATTTCAGCGGCCACGTGGCCGACTCAGGGATATTAGGGGTCCTGCATTCGCATGATACAAACACAGCAGCAGGGCATGCAATGCTCGCTGCTAGTGCATGCTCATGTGTCCTTCAAGAAATGATCCACCAACTTCGACAGGGTCTCCGTGGATCTCGAGACCTCATGTGCAGAATCGGGGTTTACATTGTACGGTTTGGTGCACACTGTGATATAATCGCAGCAAAGTTGCTGTTTGCCATGCCAAGTTCGTGGGTCCTTGTCCCCGGCTTCGTGCACGAGTCCGGCCGCCGCCTGCCACGTGCACGTTTTTTTTGGGAGCAAACAAAGGCCTGGGTGAGGCTCCAGCCTGGTGGGAGCCAGGAGTCGGTGTCGGTACAGTAGTACCATCCACCGGCCCGGAACCCACGGCCGTCCTTGTCCTTCTGCACTATGCCAGCTGGCGGCGGCGGCGGCATCGCCGCCGATTTGGGGACCCTATTTTTCTTGACCCTTTTTTTTTTTTTTTTTTTTTTTTTCCTTTTTTTTTTTTTTTTCTTTGCCCTTTTTTTTTCCCTTTGGGGGCCTCGGTGTTTTCTATTACAGCTGCTACTGCACCTACTCCCACTAATACCTCCTGCTACACCACTACTACTACTACTACTACTACTACTACTACTACTACTACTACTACTACTACTACTCCTCCTACTACTACTACTACTACTACTACTACTACTACTACTACTACTACTACTACTACTACTACTACTACTCTACTACTACTACTACTTACTACTTACTACTTACTACTTACTACTTACTACTTACTACTTACTACTACTACTACTACTACTACTACTACTACTACTACTACTACTACTACTACTACTACTACTACTACTACTACGACTACCACTGCTACGACTACCACTGCTACGACTACTGCTACGACTACTGCTACGACTACTGCTACGACTACTGCTACGACTACTACTACTACTACTACTACTACTACTACTACTACTTACACCTACTTACTACTATACCTCCTACTAGACTACTACTACTACAACAACTACTACTAAACACTACTACTACTACTACTACTACTACTACTACTACTTGTAACTGTACATAGTCTGCGGGCTGGCTGTTGTGCTGTATGCTTTTATGCATGCTCTTCTGTAATTCGTATTCATAACATTTTTGGCTCAAGTGAGCACGGCAGTGTGTCGTTGGTAGCTTCTCGTTGCCGCGACGCAATTGCGCGCAGCCCGTCCTGGGCGGACGTTCGACCTGTCACGGTCGTTGGACTTTCTGCTTGGACGGAAAACGAGGGTGCGTGCTGCCCCTTTGGGTTTCCGTTCTCCACAATTGGGGGCTGTTCTGGGAAACGGCCACCCAGGCGGCTGCTGCGCCGCAATCTTTTAACGTGGCCTCGAAGGCGCGCTTGTCGTGCGCCTTGAGGCCGTGGTCCTGTGTGGCACGGGGCTCTCTCCTTCGCTAGGCGACCATGAGCGCTGAGGTCGCAGGTCAGCCGGAAGGAGCCACGTTGCTGAGGTGCATCGAGGATGGGTCAGTGGAGTACCCGGAGAAGATGCCCTTTATGTACTGGCTCCGTTGGCGTAAGGAAACGGGGTCCCGTCCCACCAAGAAGAAGGACGGACGATCCACGACGCTAGCAGATGAACAGCGTCTGTGGAAGGAGACGATGGAATTCCTCTACGACAACTTCGATGCCGAAGAGGAAGAGGAAGAAGATGAAGAGGAAGATGAGGAAGCTCCAGCTGCGGAAGCGGGCCCGGGTGCTCAGGATGGCGATCCGGGCCCCAGCTCTGAAGAGCTTCTGCCGGAGGCCGGGGTACCGGCTCCGCGTCCTGCCGCTGCGCCGGCGGACGTGGCCGAGACGGCGCGCCGTGTTGGTGCGCTTGCTCTCTCGCCGGTGGCCGGCGGCCCGGCCCGTTCCGGGCCTCCCTCGTCTGCTGGGACGGGTGGTCCCGTCACGGCGGAGACCCTGCAGGCGGACCTGCGGGAGCTCTACCGTCCCGACCAGGAACCGGTCGCGGATTACCTGACGCGGGTTTCAAGGCTGGTTGTGGCCTTGAAGGCGCACCAGGCAGAGGTCACGGTGGAGGATCTTGAGAAGATCACTACCAAGGCCACCATCCTTGCCGAGGAATACGGCAAAATGGGAGGTGACTGGCACCCTGCCAGGATGGTGCGGGCCCTGCGCACCAGGTTTACCGTTGCCGCGGTTTCTCTTGGGTCGGAAGACCGAGAGGAGGTCGAGAAGGAGATCTCGTGCCTCGGCGAGCTGATCTTGGCCCTGGGAGGCAAGAGCAGCGGCGATCCCGAGAAGGTTTGGAGCACTCCTTCTTCTGTCCCGGCCCTGGCGGCCCGGACGGGCGCCGTTGCGGAGTCGGGCTCTAAGTCCGGAGCACCGGCGCCTCTCCCGGTGGACCTTCAGCTCGCGATCCCTGAGGATCCGCAACCTGGTCCGGGGGACTCACCCCTGAAGTCCCGCCTTGCGGCTCTGGAGATAGAGCTCGAAGGGCTTAAGAAGGATAAGCCCGGCGAGCCTCACTCCGCCAGCGGCGGAGCCGGAGAGCTCGCTGCAGCTTTGGCGG